ATTCATGATTTTGAGCAGATTTTTGCTAACTAGTGGTCCTGTTTTAGAAGAAATTGTTAATTTAAATTCTCCAAGGAGTTCTGCATATGACGAGTTTTAATATTAAGCGGTACAAAAATTAATTTCTTAAAATTTCATAAAATTAAAGTGATGGTAACTAATGTAGGAAAAATGTTTTTCCAAGATTCCAAGAAATTTTTCTAAAATAATTTAATTCATTTGTGAGGAAATGGTGAAAGTTTCATTAAAATCCAACAATTATGACTTTTGCAATTATTCCTAAGTCAATGTGTATTTTCAATGCAAAAAAGACATGAAAATTCCCTAATCTTTGGTCTTCTACTGATGCAAGAAAAACAAGATTTAAAGCTAAAATTTTGAACATTCTGAAAAGGAGCAAAAATATAATTTAATAATTAAAAATTCCCTTGGTATTACCTCTTATATATATAAAATAATAATAAGATAAAAATTAATATATGTACAAGATTTGCGAAAATATGATGAAACTGTCAACCATATTATCTCAGGATGTACAGAACTAGCAAAAAATGAATATACCCACAGATATAACAAGGTAGCGATATATGTGCACTGTAAAATATGCAAGAAGCACAAAATCAAAACCATTGAGAGATGGTATGAGAACCAGCCAGGCACAATTACCCAAAATAACAATATAACTATCCTCTGGGACATGCCAATTCAAACTTACAGGGAAATAAAAACCAACAAACCTGATATTATCATAAAAGACACAAAATTCAGGAAGTGTATGTTTATTGACATAGCAGTACCATCTGAGAGAAACACCTCCATGAAAATTGAGAAATTCTCCAAATACAAGGACCTGGAGATCAAGATTAACAGGATGTGTGGCATGAATGCTGAGACTGTACCAATAGTAATCGGAGCTCTGGGCGTTGTGAGAAAAGGAATGGACAATTTGACTAACAGTGTCCCAAGTAACATCAACATACAAGTTGCCCAGAAGATCGCCCTACTAGGAACATCTCATATACTAAGAAAAGTGCTATCAATTAAATGACAATTCTCCTATAGTGCCTAAGGATCATAGTTTGGACCCAGCTCTACAGAATACAAAATAATAATTCTTTTTCTTCTAATAACAACAACAAAGATTTTGATGGTAAATCATTCTTTTTAAGTTTGGTGCTTATACCCCCCCCCATAATGTATGCTCATTTTTAGTGAATCTGTGGAAGTACCTATGGTAATTTTATAGTTATTTAACGCCACAAACAAACTGGAAAAAGAAAAAAAGCATATTTTAGAAATATGTTAACTTCCAGCCACATCATGTTGAATCACTGATTCTCGTATGACCACTGAAGTTAAGCAACATGAAGCCTGCTTAGTACCTAAATTGGTAATACCAAGTGTTGTAAGCTTGGATGTGCAGGTGGTGTTATGGATAATGGATCATAATTTTTAATCAGAGAGCTGATTTCAAATTCCTGTTTGAATTTAATGAATATTCACTTGTGTGCAAATACCCTTGCAAAATATATAAATATATTGCTTCACAACCCCTGTTAGGGGTTAATTAGTAAGACTTGTATCATAAAATTATTATCATCTAAAAAAAAAAAATATTCTTACTATCTAAAAATATTTTCTGGTTTTAAATAACTTGGAAAGGGTTGATATGCTGTAGAAAACCAATCAACCTTCATTCCTCCTCCTCCTCATTAAAAATCTCCTCACTATCTTTTACTCCTAGTAACCCCATGTATCCTAGTGGCATTATTGCCTTGCTTGGGGTGAAATGATTAAAAATAAATAAATAATAATTTACTGTAGCTCAGCCATCATATTCATCCAATGTAGCTTTGCATTTATCATTAAAAATTATAGTTGAGAAATCAGTTCTCATGTACTTTGTTCAACTTAAATTTTTTTTTTTTTTTTTTTGTGATATTTATTTAATGGTAGGAATTTAATTGCTTTCATGTATTCAGCCATTGTCCTTATTATTCTAAATCTTTTGTTTACATTCACAACTGAAACTTCTTCAAATATTTCCTTGCTTGTTAAACTGCTTTTCTAGTTTATTACGCTTTAAATTTTTCTCAACTTTTGTGAAATTCAAGAAGCCATTTTTTTCTTGCAAATATTTTCAATTTTTTTTTTTTTTTTTTTTTGATCTCTGTTCAATGGTTTTGCAATATATTTTTATAACTCTATAACATTACAATGTCTTGTTTCTCTTGTAATTTCCCATGACAATCTTTATATCTGAAATTAAAAAAAAATAACTATACTATTATATATACTACCGATACCACATTCAGGGTTGGGGGCTTAGGGGACTGAGGATCCCCATATTTTTATTCAAAAAGATTTTATTTTTTGATTTAAATACTAACATAAATACTCTGTTAATGTTATTCTCAAACAAATCAAACTTAGATAAAAGTTTGTTAACCTTTTTCAAATTATTAATAAAAAAGTAGTTAAGCTTAAATTGAGATGTATTTAAACATTTAATTTAATCATTTTTTTTTAAGCAAAAATTATAGCGAGCTTTGCTTTTTCAAAAAAATAATTATTTACTATTTATTTTGGAGGGGAATTTAGATTTTTTTAAGTAAATAAAGTTTTACCTTTAAACATTACATTAGCAAACATTTCTCTGTAAATGAATTTAATTACTATTTTGAAAGTGAGTAGAAGCAAGCAAGACATATTGAGAATTTAGTTTTGAAAAGCAATTGTTTAAATTTCAAGTTGTATTTGAAAAGAAAAAGACTTTAGTTAAATAAAAATTAGAAGAGACAGACATGACTTACAGCCAACATTAGTTGTGTTGAATATTTGTTTTAAAAATTTAACCATATTTTATTTAAATTAATTTTCGAAAAATAAGGTTCACTATAGTTTTTTGCTTTAATAAAACTTAAGAATTTTTTACTTTTTTATGTTAGTTACAAACCAAAAAACATTTTTAAAGATTGAATAAAAAAAAATTATTTTCCATAAGATGGGTGAAAAATATTACTAAGTCAATAATACACACACACAAACAACTGCCATTTAGGGTGATAGTGAGTCTGTATACAGACAAACCTCTTAACAATGTACTAATAGGGGTCTGTTAAAGCCAATTGTCCGTAGATGGGAAGGGATTATTTTTGAGCTAGAAACTACCAGTAGTTATGATCATAATGTAAATACTATAAACATGTATATATGGTATAAATAAATATATACTTAATAATCGAAATTACAAAAATAATAGATTTCTCACAGCTACTTTCTAACGCATGCGCTGATGTACCATACTTTCCATCTTTGTTTACAATTGAAAGGCCTGCCACCAAGTGGTCACTTTGAGAACTAATATGACTCATTATTTTTTAAATACATTTCTGACAGTTTGAAAGTTTTTTTTGCCTGCAGATTATTTTTTATTTTGCCTGCAGATTTTGTCCATTGTATCTGAAGTTCGTTGATGGGTGGTTTGTTTGTATATTTATTTTGTAGCCGAACACACACACACACACACACACACACACACGAATGTTTGAATAAATAAATATTAAACTTTTTGTCAAATAATTGTATTTATTCTTTTGAATTTAATTTGTTGTTTTAATATTCATTTTTTTTTTAAAGTTACGCATTTATTTACTGTAGATGTGAAAATAAATTCAAGTTTAAATATATCTTAAATTCTTAATTTATGTTTATTTACTTTGTTGTTAATAATAATCCCCTCCAAAATAAATAGTAAATAATTATTTTTTGAAGAAGTAAGGCTTGTTATAGTTTTTGCTTTAAAAAATGATTAAATTAAAATATGTTTAAATGTATCTTAATTTAGTTTATTTACTTAGATGTTTTAGTTGGACACACAATTGAATATTTAAATAAATAAATATTAAGATTTTTTCAAATAATTGTATTTAATATTTTTCTTTTACTATTCATTTTTTTTTTTAAAGTTATGCTTTTATTTACTATCAATGTGAAAATAAATTCAAGAGAATAGAAATTTTAAAAATACATACTTGGATAGTATTTAGCAAAATAAAAAATAAAAAATGAATGGTAATCTAATTTGAGAATAAGAATTTTTACTGTTTAATTCTGAGAATTTCAAATGCATTCTAATGCATTTAATTTTAAAATATCTTCATAAATACAAATCATACGATAATTTTTTATAATAGGTTGGCTTGGTTGAAAATGAGTCTGTATGCATATTTACTTTGTCATGAACTATTGTAGTTTTTTAGTTTTAGCCAGACACACAGACACACACAACTGGCCTATATATATGTATAGATAGTAAAAACTATCAAATTGTATTATAAAATATCATGGTCAAAAAAGTTACTTAAAAATAATTCTAATAAAAACAGATAAGCTGAATTTGGTATCACATATTTATCATGTAGATTTTTTTAATAATTTATCCATGAAATTTTACCAACATTAGTTAATACCAATTATGCAGTGAAACCTTTGACTTGCATAATAATAATAATAATAATGACATTTTATACTGAACTTAATTTAGAAATGACTGGATAAAAAGCATCAGTTGTAATTTTTCAGAATAATTAATTCACTTTTTAAAAATATTTTCATTGTCAATCCTCTCTTCAGTGACTTTTTGTATAAACTACATTACTTCTATTGATATCAAAAATTACAGCCTTTTCATCTATTGAAACACGTTGTACATCATTTCCTAGTGTATTTTAAAATGTTTAAACAAGAGTTTAAACTTACCCATTGCCCTGAAGCAAACAAAAAAATGAAACTAATTTAAACTATATGAAAGATGCTTGTTTATGTATCACTCTGAAAGCAAGCAATGGGTTTCTTCAGGTTATAAACATCAATCATATTGAAATGAAATTTAAATCATCTAAGGTTAAAAAAAAAAAAAATCACTTAGAAATGTTGATAGCATTGTTACATAGTAATGAAAATAATTATTGCATTCTTTTTTCTTTTGTTTTGTGTAGGTGCATGGAAAATCAGGAATCCGTTCAGGTTTTAAGCATATGTTAGAAGAGGGTGGAGTTAAATCTCTCTGGAGAGGAAATGGGATCAATGTTTTTAAAATTGCTCCAGAGACTGCCATTAAATTTTCATGTTATGAAAATGTAAGTATGAAAACTCAGTTTTTGTTCATTTGCATTACTGTCTGCATCCTTTCTATTCTGAAAGGATGCAAACAAAAAAATAAAAAATGAAAATGACTTCGACTCCTTTGCATCTCATAAAATGTAACCAAGCATAGATTGAGCATTTATTTATTTTTATTAACTATTAAACTCAAATTGTCTTAGTTAACTGTTTAACGTGATGGGTTAAATGATTCTATAAGCTAAGACTAGACACATTATGGGATTTTCATTGTCACTGTTTTTATGTCATATAAACAAGATTTAGATTGGAAATTATTTTTTGTAAATAATCAAAACTCAATTTGTCTTTGTTTACCTGAGACAGGTTTAATGTCAGCTTATGAAGTTTTGAGAATTGTCATGTGAATGTTTAATACAATTTCTATAAGGATGAGAAAAGAAATTTGAAAATTATAACATAAATATGTTATAAAATCATTTAAAAAAAAAAAACACACTTCTGGTTGTTTTCTCAAGTGATGGATCACTTGAGAAGACACTGGAAGTGTTGAAACAAGATGTCTATTTTTGAAATGATTTTATAACATATTTATGTTATAATTTTCAAATAAATGATTATATTTGCTCTACTTTGTATTGGGCACTCTTTTAAGAATAGTATTTGTTGGTTATTGGAATTTATTCTGTATACACCAATCCTATACTTGGGTGTGTGTGTGTTGTGTGTGTGTGTGTGTGTATAATATATATATATATATATATATATATATATATATATATATATATATAAAAAATTCAATTTATGGCAAAAGTGATATTTGCCAAAAAAAAATTTCAAAAATGGAAATGTATGGCAATTTAAGATATAAAATAATTGAAACACTGGCCTCTAATATACCATGGTTTCACCCAGAATGCTTTCATGAAGGCATTTAATCTAGATATTTCATTTAAAAAAAACCCAAAAAACTCTTATAAATGAATTTACATTAGTAATTGGTAGGGGAAAAATAGGTAGAGGAGAAGATGGTAGGTAGAGGTGAAACCGTTTGTGCAAATACTCATATCCGGGATCAAAACTGGCTGATAAGAATTTGCTTTCATGTTTGCAAGCTGCCATTACTTCTAATCTTGTTAAGTAGCCTATTCTACTCTGGTTACATCATTATTGTCACTTTCTCTTCTTGGCATAGTCTGCACATTCTGCTCCTGATGTTTCATGGTCAGGCTTTTATCAATATATCCCACTTAATTCTGAGAATTTTATTATTCTTTTTCCTTCCCCTCCCACACATTGCTGGTAAGCTTGGTGTTATATTCGTATTTCACCAGTTTGAAAGAGGATTGGTAGTTATACCACCTCTTTTTGAACATAACTTCTGTGGATCCAATGTATACATTTTTCTTGGCTTTTTTTTTGTGTTCTACAGTAGCCTTGTAAATCACATCCTCTACCATGCAGTTACTGCTTAATGAGCAATCAGTTGCATTTCGGCAATTGCAGCTTTCCTGGCCTGTATCAGCTTCTCATGTTTTAAGTTTTTGATGTTCTACTCTTTAATTATTTTTTTCCATGGTTAAGTCGTGCAACTGTAACTAAATCTTTATGGTATTTCTATTGAAAATCTTGTGTCACATGGGATTTTCAGGAAAGTGCTTATTTAATAAAGATTTTACCAATATTGAATTTCACCTCTAAATTGAAGTGGGGAGTTGTTTCTTTTTCGGCTCCCCACTGTTGGTGTTCAAATAGGTTTAAATTCCAGCCTGGCTTTATGCCCCTCCTCTTGCAAAGCCCTCTAATAATTACAGATTTGTGGTAGTGTTTAATTATATTCACCTGCTCACTTTTCAAGTTGACAAATCCTTTGGTGTATTAAAGTGCTTAATTAATCCCTTGTTTGGCTATCAAAGCATAAAAATCCTTTGTCATAATTTATAAATACGTTTTTTTAATCTTTGATTTTGTTGAACCAATTTCTACAATCTCGTATTTTTCCAATGATTTATTTGTATGGCTAATTGCACATCATTTTACTGTTCTATCAAGTTCAGTTTTAGCAGGCTAGATTAACTCAAATGAGGGATAATTCACAAAGTCTCTTTAATGATCCTTTAATGTTATGAAAACTTGCCTTTTATTTAATTACTGGATCATGTCACCTATTTTCAGTTGGGTAGCTATATCTTTGGCCCTGCCATTAATCTCATCAACATATGTATCCGGCGCTTTTTTGTAAAATTTAGTTACTTCATCATTCTCTTATATATATATATATATATATATATATATATATACACACTCTTGAGGGTTCATCATGTAGATGTTTCTAGTCTTATCACCCTTTACTACTATTTTCAATGACTTTTTAAATTTGTTTCCTGTCATCTACCAGGCATTTTGAAAGCTGTTATTGAGTTTTCAAAATTTGATCTTGTCCATAATGTCCAACATATCCTTTTCAGAGTTAATCAACTCATTAATCACAGGGGCGTATTTTTGGGTTTGAAAACGGAAAAAAAAATATTCTCATCTTCATCTTTACTATTTCTATATTTTGAGATGAAAAATAAAGCTTTCTGTCTCGTCCTTGCAAGGAACTCTTCTATTTTGTATAATAGATAAAGCAAGCACAGTGATGTTTTTCAGGGAGTATTTTATACTTAGGTTCTACATTGTTGCATCATCATCCATTCTTGCTATTCAAAGGACATATCGGCACACACACTTGTAATATATATATATATATATATATATATATATATATAAGTGTGCAGCTTATATTTTAAATCATAAAGGAACAATTTATACAAAGAATTAAATAGCAATGTTAATGTGATTAATGGCGAAATCACTTCACTAACAGGACTTAATGAGACATTAACTTACTATCAATTCTTTGAATAATAAGATCCTTATATTCAAGTTGTTGTCAGATGGAAGACATACTTTCAACAATTTCAAATTGTCATCTTCAGCACACAATTTTCTTATATATAGACAAATACCAAGATGAAATATGTGTAAACTGAAAGATGTTTTTTAAATTATGCTATTTATTGACAATTGAATATGTTTTGGAGCATATGATGTTGCAATGTTAGAGTTCTTGTTCAAATCAATTCAGTGAGAATTTTGTTTGAATTTTAAAAAGTATATATTTATATGTACATATGTGTCAGTTTGTGTGTGTGTGCATATAAATATATATAAGAGCATGCATGTATATTTTATGTATATTTATATATATATATATATATATATATATATATATATATATACAATACATACAGTTAAAATTACACTGTTATATAGTTCCTAACTACAATCAATATTTGCAGTAGCTAAGTTTACAAATTCAATTTATGGCAAAAGTGATATTTGCCAAAAGAAATGGCTAAATAAAGAGTGCTCAATACAATCTCCAAAAATGAAAATGTTGGGCAATTTAAGATATAAAATATTGGAAACGCCAATCTTTATGCTACCCTCCAAAATACTGCTCTACAAACAAGTGATAGGCCCATATAAATTGAAATAGGAAATGTTTTCTATAAACATTTCTTTTACAGGGGTTAATGTAAAGTAAATTTAAATGAACATAGAGTTGGTGAATTAGTTATCTTTAATTAACATTTCAACTAGAAATTAAATTCCATCTGGAAATAAACTGTAGCTTAGACAAAATATTTTATGATTTTTAATCTTTTTGGCTAAAGTATACATGGGAAATATATCAATTAAAATTAAGTAGTTTAAGAGACATTCCGATCACTCTTTAAGTGTTTGTGGATGGTCCTCATGTTTGTTTGTATATATTGTCTTTTTCAGTCTCGTACCATGTAATCTATTCTCCTGTTTGAGTTACTGAGCTTCTTGTGAGCATGTTTACGCATAGATATTGATTTTAATGTTGGAAAAATGAAAGGCTTTTTTCTTTTTCTTTTTTTTTCAGTAGCCAAGATCAAACTCTCTGAATAGATTCCTTTATGTACCATGTGCAATGAATTTAGTGGATCATTGCTATATTCTTTGTTTTTTTTACTTGTATTATCTGCCATAGCTTATTTGGTGGTCTTACTATTGACAACAATGAATTGTAGGATATGACTAGTTATATATCTCTAATTTATCGTTCATTTCTAACTCAAGACAATCAACTTTGTGCTACTTTGGCATGTTATTTACAAGGAAAAATATTTACATTGTACAAATTTTAATTTGGAATGGTATCTACATAGTAAAATAATATATATATATATATATATATATATATATATATATATATATATAATAATATTCTAATGTTAAACAGCACTTACATCAGCTAAAATACTAAAAATAGAAGTCTGGTGAATAGATCAGAAACCAAAGTAGATTCATTACACGAAGCCAACAAGCCAAAATAGTAAAGTGAATTTCACATGATACTGTTGCAGATTTCATGAACTGGATTTGGAAGTACTCTTTAACCACACACACACACACACACAAAAATTGAATATTATTTTCTCTGAAAATACTAATATAGTAATTGATTTTTTTAGTGCTGCTATTTCCTATGAAAAAATACTGCAGGAGTTATTTCCCTTAGATTCAAATCATTCTGCATTCAAACTTCAATGAATAAACTGTAAAACTCTTTTCATGCAAGTTTTTCATTGAACTTGTTTCTCTTTTCGTTAGATTTACAATTATATCAGGATAAATATCTACTGTTTTAGTTCTCATTCTTTTTATTTTGTTTCATATATCTATTTCTTTATGATTTCCAAAAGACTATAAAGAAATTTGAATTCACCAGTAATAAAAGAAAGTTAAACAAAAATGTTCATACATATAATTTGGCACATACATTTTTTTTTTTTTTTAAAGTTAAGGATAATAGTTGACTGCAGTAAACACAACCTCTAATGTTTGAGGTTTTGAAATTAATCTCTCACTCCAAATTAGTCACTTAAGATATTCTCGGAATTTCTTTCCTATTTTAGGAATAAAAAAAAAAAAAAATTGGCATTCTCGAGTATCTCTCACTTTCCATCTTAGCTCGTCCACCTAAGGCTATTTCCTTGATTTGGGCAATAATGTCCAAGTATGGTGGACG